ACTGGACCGTTATAAGATTATTTCTGACATAAACTTCCCCGGGAAAAGATGACTCACGCACTCAACATAATCAATACACAGCTGAATATTGTATGCTGTATAATCTACGGATCTAAACGTAAGAATTCATGGACTTCTAAGTCTGGCCTGCGTCCCTCCTAATGAGAAACTATGCGGGGAATGTCTGCTGAGATTCGGAACTTGTCTTACCCGACAGGACGGCGAACCCGCTTTTCAGCATTTTGCCGGCGTTTCTTCTCCTCAAAGCGAGACGTGGGGACGCTATGGCACTTGGGCAGCGGGTCTTGTTTGCTTCTTCCCGCCGGATACGCTTCCACGGAGGCAAAAATTGGAGAAAATTTAATCGTCTGCAACTCAATTTTCCAGACGGCGAAGAAAAACAAATATGGCGGAATCTGTCCCAAAATGCATTGCTAGGTCCCAGACGGCTTGATCCATCAAAAGCGCCGACTAGCGATAGTTGATCACAGTGCAGTAACAAGACTCCAGTGTGTTCTGTGGACAAGAAAACAAGGCTGAGGCAATAAAAATCATTGCCAAGGCGACGACTGAATGATATATATTATTTCATGTGGTGGAGCTAGCAATCTACATTACAATTATCAGAAAAAACATATTTCCCTATCTTATAAAGACATGCACATAGTGAAATGGGTGGGTGGAGGAGGTGTGGGGCAATATACCAAATACACGTATAGGAGGAATCAGCCGTTCTTCCCCAGCTATATAGATTTTATGATGACATACTTACTTACTTTACTTTGGTCGAGTTCCCGCTAGAACCAAACCATCCTCCATTTCACTTCACTCTATCCTCCACCAGAGACTGGATTTTATGTCTGGTCTGAAGTTGTTACTCCTTTGACTTTTTTTTACCTTTTGTGGGATCCAAAAGGACGGACAATTTCTTTTCTCTCTGTGATCTGATATGGTCTTTGGCCAAAGACAGCTGTGCTCTCTGTCCATGGTGTGGGGAGAAGACTGATGACCAGTAATTAATCTTGCCAGGCAGCTAGCGCTGGATGGGTGGCACGTGGGCACCGGTGTAAGTTACCTGCTTGATCCAAAAACCACATGGCCGAAGGTTTCCTCAAAACCAATTCCCCAGGGAATGCATTCGTGTAATTTTTGAAATTCTTTCAAAGCGATCGTAGTACTTACACAAATGCCTCCGCCCCCAAAGGGCGTCGCCAATAATGCAACAGGAAGCTTCTTCATATTGCAGTAATGTAATAAAGATATGTCTCTGAAGCTTATCTTTTTTCGAAAGTCACGATAATTCATAAGATATGATCAATACTATGAATTATGAACATATTGGCAATCAGACTGTCGAATATTAAACTCAATAAGGGACAACGCCATCGTAAGTTTTTTGTTCAGGTTCAGCATCTATGCAACTTGCAATCTGCAGTACTGTTAGTGCTATGGTCTTGGATCGACGGCGCTATTAGGAAGCAAGTTCCCATTCGCAAATGTGCAAAATTAGGATTTTTATTTTTCACATCTTCAAAAATGTCCAGCCTTTCCTAGCCGTGGACGACTCTGGTACATGCCGGTGACATTTATCATGCAAAAAGGTGTACCAGAGTCGTCCACGGCTAGCCTTTCCATGTTCCTCTTTGGTCCTCTGGTAGTACCGGTATCATCTATCTCATGACAGTCGGAGTGTCACTCCTCCTGTATTAAAGCAGGGTCTTTTCTTGCGTGACAATTACCATTAAAAGAAACGTACGTTCGCCACGAAGTCGACACATGATTTTCTGAAGTCACGCCCCCACCATTCTACCGTTGAACTCTATCGCCTCCGCTGGCACAAAGCCATGGGCACAATTACGCTAACACTTGTATTAGGCGTAATATGATATCTGAACGTCACAGTCACAATATTTTCCTCCAAGCGACATGTTAAAGTATTGCATATCCACGTTTCTCCACGCCAGCGTTGCACCTGCTTGCCCCTTTCTGCCCTGTCATATTTATCGTGCTAGGC